AATTTTCCCGCATTCGCACTAAATGCAGCACTCCCTACGGTCGTGCTGCAAACAAAGTGCTCATGCGGGAAAATTAACTTACCGAACTTGTTAGGTAAATAACTATTTCCAATGCCGACACGTTTTTATTGAATTTAATCCCTAATTTTTGTGCATTAATAGGTAATTTTAATCCCTCATTTTTGATTTCTTGTAAAACATTCAGAAAGTACCTACCTATTCATTTTCTTTATTTTCAGAACAGGTAATATGAAAAGCACAATGTATAAAGGGCCTTAGTGTACATCCAGCTCTTCCTATATAATGCCAAATAACTGAGTTCTTCCCCGCCTCAACAATGGTAAAAACTCTTGATTTTTAGTTTTTGTGTCTGGAATACTAACTACTAGCATCGATTCTCCATCTTCTATGTAGTCTACATTCATTTTTAAGAATTCCTCTGATCTGCAAGCTGCAACTTCCTCCAATATCCACAATTGTCACAATCTACAACCACAAACTTCGGAAGCATGAGCATGCAATGTTTTACACAAACTAACCTTTATCAGCAAGTCACATCTTAGGGGATGAAAGAAACGCCTTCATATTCTCCGTCACTTTCGACTTCAATATTTTTAGAAGGGTATGCCGATGGTCTAAGATTTACAGGCATGATTTTACCAAAATAAAAAATTCTTAATTTTTGTTGACAGTTACAAACAAGCGAGCGTAACTATACTTAGACCATTGAGTTAGAAAACTAATGGAGGGAATCAAATGCTTGGCCAGACGTAGACCACGGGAACCAAAAGTGGCCTCTAGCTGTGATTAAAGTACCACACCACTTCCGTTATCATTAGCGTCTCACTTCAGTGGCGTAGAGATATAATTTTCTTTCCACTAATAGGAATAATAACAAAAAAAACGTATAGAAGGAGTAAAATACATGCTCGTGGTAAAGTAAACAAAATAGACAAGGATGGGAAAGTATGCAGATTTAATATAATCATTGATTACAAATCTAAATATACATCGATGTGTTCCAGTAGTATAATTAAGGCCAGTTTACTATAATAGCCACTACAACTTGACAACTCCCATTAAATTCACTGTGTGGATCAATAGCTACAATTGACTGGTTGGTCTCAGGTTCATTACAACGGCAGAGAGATTCAATAATAATTTATTGTTTATTGGTCTCAAAATGTATCCGCACTCGTAAAAAAACTTACACCTGATATCCATATTATAAACTCACACGTTTAGCTGTAAAAACAAGTTTTGATAGTACCTACTGCATATTTGATAAACATTTTCCGGTGCAACCTTTGGTCGAAATCACAGTCAATGAAGCGTTGTGAGCACAAAAGTAAATTTCGAGAGCTGTTCTTGAGATATATTTACAAATGTAATATTACCATTTTGCTCGAAGTACCGGTTCGTTTGGAAAACTAAGAAACATAAACTAGGTACCTACAACCTCGCCTACAACATGATAAATGACATGTCTTACCGATGAAAGGAAATGCCCTGTTTCTTCCCTTTATGAGAAATTTTGCACGATACGCAGCTAATCATTCTCAATTCACAAATTGCGTGTGATAAAAACACTATGCGGCAGTTAGTTGTTTATATAAACCAGAGCACAAACCGATCCGAAATTATTAGGTACTTTAAAATGGCAAATTTAATAAAATTTGAATTTGGTGGAAAACTGACAGTGACAGGACCCGCGTTTTCATATGTCAAATAATGTCGGCCAAAATGTACCTTCACGGGAACCTATCCACGCGAGTGGCCTCTATCTGTGGCAATTTCCGTCTACAAAAATTCTTACCCCCTCTACCATTATATTCCCTCCATTAGTTTTCTAACTCAATGACTTAGACCATATAGTACATGGACTGCTAATTGTAACGAAAATATAGTCAAGGACATCGCCTGGGTATGTGAGTTTCAGGGTAAACGAGTCTATCCGAAGTTGTCCGATTAGACACGATTTGAGACTGTCAACCTATAAATTAACAAACGTCAATTAATTAATCGCCTAGATATGCCAAAAAAAGCAAACTTATTGCGATTTGTGGACGTATAGAAGATAATCAGGAGGATTGAAAGCTTCCCGTACTACGCGGTTACTATAAAAGCTACTCTTTACGCCATCCGAGTGGTGTTCATACGACTTTAGTTTACCCTGAGATTCACATACCCACGACTACAGTGCCCTCTATCCGTGACCATCCATTTTGTATTGAAAGCATAGGGCTAATAGCAGTCCATGTAGGTACTATATCTATCTAAGTAACTATAACACCCTAAAAAGCCTACCTTACTTTTTCACAGTTTTTATAGCATATTAATTTTTCAATGGATTCAGATCGGTCGGTATTGGAAATAATAGTATAAGTAACACTGGATTAAACTAGTTTTTGTTCCCTCAAGAATATTAAAGCCCTCGGCAAGCCTCGGGTTTTAAACCATTCTTTCAGGTACAAAAGCTCTTTTTCCCTTGTTAAGTACTTAATATACTATTATGTCTAATCTTTTAAGTAGCAACGTACCCAGTTTTCTCTAATTGATAACGATGTGTCCAATAAAATTGGAAATACAAGAAGTGCCTATTGAAAGGCGATCATCTTAATTAAGCTTTTAGAACTTTTTGAAAATTATTTATAGAGAATAATGCGAACATTATAATTTCAAGTCCGTAAAGTTACTTAAAAGTTTCGTTTTCATTGTTGTCAGTGGGAATAATTCGGAACGAAATGAAAAGTGATTTCTGTGTGAAGTTATACGACTTTGACATTTCTCGTTTTCGTAATTCGTCAAGATGTAAGAGGCGGTCTTGCCAAATTAATTTCTCATTTCCGCGCCGAGTTTTTTTTATGTCTGGTTTAGAATAGGTAGATAATTATGCTAAAGAGTAAAGGCAACTAATCGTATCACATCCTTACGTTAAACATTTTCATCCCACTTCGTAAATTGAATTAGGAATAAAAAAAACTTTTTGCAATATAGGAGAAATATCATAATGAAATGTAAAATAATATTCCATGCAAACATTACAGATGTTACGTAACAAGTTAAGTACAAGTAGGGTGTGTTTCAAAAATATGAAATCGATTAATTTATGGAATAAAGGAATTGGACAAAAAGTATATCTTCTTTAACTGTTTGAGTTTTTTGTGATTTGAAGTTTACTAATACCAAGTTTGTTTAGTCGTAGCCTACCGATAGATCTAGCCGTGACATTGATTTAGTGACGTCACAACTGGAGATTGGCCACTGCAACGCGATACTATGTGTTTAAATGCAATTTGATTCGCGTGCGTGCTCATTTAACGCAAAAACATTTAGTAATTACTTATTTTGAGTTGCAGGATTGTTATATGTTGTTTCCTAATTATAAACACGTGTTATTATGCAAAAATTTTATTAAATACGTACATAAACAACAAATACTGAAAACCGAGCTGAAAACAAATAAAATTTATATACTTTGTTTCAAGGGTGCTGAACCTTTCGTCACACTATCTGACGTCATAGCAAAATTAAGGCAGGTCGTAAATTAGTAGTTGGTTTACATATTGTCACATTGACGTTTCAACTTATTTATTAAGGTGTCACCCTGGGTGTCACTATCGTTCATCATTATTAGACCGCCCAAGTTGACAATCACTTGTAAGGCATCTGGTTCTGATAGGTTTTTTCCTGTTCTTAGGTTTTATAATGGCTAAATGGTCATGTATTTTATGTAGAGGAAGTCCGTTGGTATGAATTAAACCTTTTCAACCGTTTGTAATCATCCTCATGTAACCGATTCTTTGCACATCCAAATGGATACTGCCAGAGCATCCGAAACTCTTTGAGATGAAGTGTATGATGGTTACAGAAAACGCATAGGAACATTTGTAACTTAAAGTTTGTTTAGGCAGTTCGTAAATTAATATTTTGTTTACATAATGTTGATGTGAAATTAAGTATACTACCAATGTGAAGAATACGCGTTAAGTTGCGCGAATTTTAATGACCCTTAACTAGCCATTTGCAGAAGTAGAATAGGCCATGGTTTATCGGTAAGCCTTTTGCATTTATACATCTTACAAATTTGAGATAAAGCGTAGTCATTATATCACTGGCTCATTGAAATAACAACGCATACATACAGTTTCTGTTCTTTTGCCACACAGTCGAGATATTCGCATAAGGATCTTGAATATCTTCTGATCCGATTTATTTAAAAAAAAACGCAATTGTGAAAGAAAACAGGTAGTGAAGAAAAAAACTCTCAAATGTTCATATTCAAATCGTATGTACAAAAGACAAAAAGCGACACTACACCACAAATCCATCTTCTGATCCTGCATGGAGTATTAGGTATATACCGGACCCCTTCACTACTTCTTTTTCTAACTGTTTTGAGAGTACCATTTGCCAGCTTCTTCTAAAAGACCCTTTACTGTATATCCAGGTTTCGTCTAAAACCACAGGTCGTAATGGAAAGAGTGAAGTTTCGTTGTGTTTAAAGTCTCTCAAAAATTGTAGTCTTCTTTGAACTGCATAGGGCTGTTCCATTAAAAATAATCTATTGTAGACGGTCCATCTCCGCCACGTGAATTTCAGTTTCTTCAAACTGCGGGACAAAGAGGTACCAGATATTTCTACGCCATCAAGTCGTTGAAGATTACTGTGTAAGGAACGGAGTGTAACATTCTCAC